TCAACATTAAAGCTAGCAAAAAGGAAGGATAAATACAATTAGCTTTCTATGCATCCTTAGTAGCTATTCATAAAGCAATACATTAAGGAAGTCATTACTGTCATTACTACCTTAGCACATGGATGCTAGGGTTCACATGGTATGTTGCAATTTTCATTATAAATTATATTATTACTTCATGTTAAAAACACTAGAGGGTAAAATCTCATTTTTTCCTCCAATCATAAAAGGAAAAACATCAAAGCCTTTTTAGGGAAAAAAAAGTGAATAATGTTTTCTATGTCATAAGGCACACTGGAAAACAGCATGGTTGAGTCTGTTCAACCATTTGCATTAGACTAGAGAAAAGCTACACCAACTACTTTTGCTCAGAGTAGCAAACTCTGCATGAATTCAGCTCAGAGGCTTTGTTTTCATTCTTTAACCATGAATTATAGTGCTAAAAAATTTAAAACCAAGATTCCTTCACTTCCTGGAAGAGTTTGTTATCTTGTGGGAGAATAACCTTTCATGATGTTAGCAGCATATGACAGACACAGCAACTAATTAATTTCAGTTGGTTTGTCTAATTCTGAGTTTATCTTGTGCTGAGTCTTCAGTCCATGTCAACACAAAGTGCTGCGGAACCCTTCACAGACTACCCAGAGCACCACATTTCATTGTAAAAGTATCATAAAACCAGTCACAAGTTGGCAGTGCACGTTACTGTGTGTGTTTTCAAAACAGATGTTCTCCCAAAGGATCCAGCTTCCCTTCCCACATCTGCTTTGTCCCTAAACCAATTCATATTTATATACAGATTTGGGAAGGGGTAACGATAACAGGTAATATTCTGATTTTGCCTGGACTTACAGTGGAAAATCCTTTAGAATCCCTCCCTTGCATTTCCTACCATCAGCTGTAACAACTGAGCAGTAAGAGTCAACCAAAGAAACCATGAATCAGTTGAAGGACATAGATGGCACCAAATGCAATTTCACACGAGTCTTTGGTCTCTTTAGGATATGCTGCAATGGCTCACACTTAAAGAACTTGAAGGGTGTGTAAAGAAAATTAACAGAAAACCATTAATGAGATCTAACTGGCCAAAAAGTGGTAATAAAATAATAAAGGAGTTACATCTAGTACCTGGCTGGGTTGTCATCCTGTACCGACACAGGAGGTTTATCAGTGAGCTTCTGTGGTGCAAACTGGGGAGAAGGGGACCTTGATGACTCCATGCCAGGATTTTGAAGATACCGATACTTGGAAGACTCAATTCTAAGGTTAGTTTTTCCTTCTAAGTGCTGACAAACATTCTCTGTGGATGACACTTGCTGGAGCTGCTGTGGATTAGCACTCTTCAGTTTTCCATTGAAAGCTGCAGGACTCTGAGAGAGAGAAGAGTGACTGGCAAAGACTTCGGCAGAGCTGGGGGATGAGGACAGAAAGGGTTGGCTGGTTGCTGTGAGCAGAGATTCAGAAGAGGTACCAAGCGATGGTGTAGAATTATCTGGTCGCCTGTATTTATCTATTTTAGGTGGTGGTGGCCTCTGAGGAGCAGGTCCACGCTTCTTGTTCAGCAGCACTGGCTCTATCCTATGGTTTTCCTCTCCTTTGCCCTGGGACAGACAGGAGTGGTTCTCGTTCAAGGTCTGTGGCTCAGAGCAGGGGAGATGAGGCAGGCTATGATCTTTGCTCCTCTCGCTCACGTTTTCCTGAGAGTATCGGTAATCACTGGGCAATGTCCCAGACCTGCCCTGACTCTCGAGAGGCAGAACGGTAGGTTCTTGCACATGCAAAGGTCTGACAGATGCCTTCCACTTGTGGCCTAAATTCTGGTCCAGCTGATCCCTCTTCTCTCGTGAGTTTTCCCTTAGGGCCCCAGTGTCAGCTTGCCTAGAGAAAAGAACACGCTGTTAGATGCTGCTGATTTACTTCCTTCAGAGCAAGGCCACCATCCCAACCCAGGAACCTTGAACACTGAGATCACATCCAACATTTAACACTAATTCCTCCAATCTATGGTAACTGTACAGCACAAAAACATCCTCTCATACATGACAACACACTGTACCTAATTTAATGTGATGAGTCTAAACATAATGTCAGGCTAAATTAAGGGTATGGAGCACCACAGGACACAACACAATGTTCAGGTAACCTGAGGCACTGCAGTGGCCATGGCTTAGTCAAACGCACAGCACACCTCCTGTGGCACGGTCAGATGTCCAAATGTTGGTAGAAAATAAAGCTGTCTCCTGAAGAGGAATCCTAACATTTAATTCTCTTTTTGCTCCAGAGTCAGTAACAAAGTGTGAAAAACAAGTTTCTTACTGAGGTGCAAAATTACTTACTCCAGTGTAATTTTTAAATGTGAATTGAATACCATGAACTTTAATTACGAATTTGGAGGTTGAATTTTTGTGTAACTGCTGAAAAATAAAACAAGTGCAAACCAAATGTTTGCTAAAGCTAAAAAACTGGGAAGTGGAAAATTAGTATCTCCTGAAACTAAGAGAGAAACGGAAATCTAGAAAAGATAGTATTTTCCTTATTTTAAACTTGAACTTCTTTTACCCTGTCAGCACAAATGACAAAAAATAGCCAAAAAGGCTTTATCTTAGAAATACTTCTGGGTTTATTCTAATTTTACACTCTCTATTTCTCTAGTCAAGAAACAGGCTTTTGCAGCTTGTACTTTGCCACAAAACAGGTAGTACATTTGTGCTCACCAGATAAAGACAAATTGGGAAAGGAACAGAAGGCAGCAAAAAAAAAGTACCTCTGGAGCTCCAAGAGGAGATAGGTTTGCTCTCTGCTTAAAGGAGGTTGGAGAGACACTATGAGCTTAGAAAAGAAGCTGCAACAAGGAAGTAAAAGGCTTCAGAGAGCTACTAATATAATTTATGCTACTGACAGCACTGGTCTCTGTATTTTTAAATAGTAACCCTGTAGACTGCACTGCCCAAGCTTTCTTTTGAGGGGACTGTGAAAGAGGCATCTTTCCTGGACTTGAATTTTCAATGTAGACATCTTATTAATATCACTGTACCAGTTTTGAGAATGCCTACAGGCAGTTAAGACCAGTATGTAGGAAAACAAAATTTGAGATAAAAGCACATAAAATAACTAATAGCTTAAAATCTATTATAAATTCAAGAAGAAAAAAAAAATGGAGTAATTACACACTGCATTACTGTTTTAATTAAATTAAAACAAATATTTAAAAATAAGTATTGTGGAAAGACAACCGATTAGATGTGGATTCCTGAACAGTCACATACACAATCTCTCTCTCTCTCTCATGTGAAGAGCCAAATCTTAAAATTCAATTTTAACAGGTAAATTTTCAATTTAACATGAATGAAGAGATTAGTGTTGTTGACATTCAGGTCTTTTCATGTTGTTCTTACCTAAGAGCAGTTGGTTCAGACAATTTCAAGTCATCTGACAAATTCAGAGGCAATTCTGTTTTAGCAATCAGTATTTATTGAATCCTATTTTAACACTAGATGAAGGACAGTTTTATGAAGTAAAAAATTATATAAAAGGCCATAAAGACAATGCTATTCAGATTTGGTTATGTGGCATTTAAAGAGTCAGCTGGTTTTCCCTAGTGAGTTTGATGTAAACAAAACCAGGTCTGTAAATAGCTCCACTAATTTTAATTGAAATATTTACCAAATGAAGACTGCAGGCCTTAAGTATGAAATATTGTGTTATGATCAGTATTTTCCATTGTCGACATAACCCATGAAGAGCACAATTTTCTTCTAGTTAACTTGTGCAAAAATTCTTCAGGCCTCCCCATTCATCTTCACATCCATAAGTCATAACATAAGATGGAGTAACAGATGCGCTCAGGAGCACAGAAGAATCAAGGGTATGACACAAAATGTCTCAAAGACTTCAATCACATGCATTACCTCAGCCAATTGCAAAGTATACTATGAACTTGGCATGCACATCGGGAGTGGGAGTGCTGGTGGAAGCAAACAGGACAGAGTACACCACTGATCTGACACATCTGCATATCCAAAACATGTAACCAATATATATACACATATATATACACACACATATATATATATATATATTACCCTGCCTCAGAAGCAATGAATGCTTTAGTAGTCCTGTTACCTTCCAAAACTGAGCAAAAGGAAATAAAAGAATTACAGCACAGAGACATTTAGAGATGCCAGGTTTGCAACATGGAGATACAATTCAGAGATTACACACGTGCCTTATATAGCTTCCACAAAATTAATCAAAGTTTTGCAGTGTCACAGATAATGATCTGAGGAAAGGTGGTGGCTACATTCAACACTGAGGCTAGTTTGCATTCAGTGTGAGTGGGTCCTCATGCAAAAAAAACATGCTTGTCACATTATTTTGGAGAGATTCAAGCTTACTGTTCAGAAAGGAGGAAAAGAAAAGAAGCTTCAAGCCCCAGGAGAACACAGTGGCAAGAACCTGTAAAGGTGTTACATTATTATCAATACCAAGAAGTCCACTAAGCTGCTTTACATCTGCTGGTGCATCATGTAATAAAGTGCCCAGAATACAGCTGGTTTGGAAATGCGGCTCATAGCATTATGCAAGGATAACGTACCACTGAAAGGAATTTATCATTTATAATCAAGCATCACAAAGTGAGAGAGAAAAAACAGTTTTAAGTTATCTGAAAGCATGACAACTGACTTAATTACTGTTGTCATTCTAGATAATAAACCAGTCAACATCAAAAACATTAAACTCCTAGTTATCTTCAAACCCAAATCTCCCCCATCCCCATAATACAATGCCACAATTCCCCAAATGCAAGAGCCTTTCTGAGGCAACAGAACAGGTGGCTCACACCACATTCCCCACCCCTGGCACGCCATGACATTACAACTTGGACTGTCAGACAATTTACACCACTCACTTAACCTGAACTGCAAAGGAAGTGTAATTAAGAGTCTTTGTTGATACAAAGTGATATTCAGTAAGAGCGAGTCTAACATGAACCTTTTTTACTGCACCTGCTTTTGGTATTTAGCTATTGGAGCCTCCATATCTAAATGGTGCAGGGCAGAAAACCAGTGTATGCTCTTAAGTGAAAAGAAGGCACTGCTTCATTACACAAACCAGTCCTCCATGTTTTTGAGAATCTCTCTTTTATAAGAGGGTTCAGTATTCTCAGAGGGGGTCTGTGTGGAGAGACAAGAGGCTCTGCACTCATAGGCCAGGTAAGCAAGGGAGGAGCTCTGCTCTGTGGCTCACACGTTTCACACAATGGCCACAGCCACCCAACACAACACCACCACTTACTGCCATGGGGGTGGGAATGTGTATCTACATACTGGCACTAAGTATTTTCTACCTAAATGGACAAGCACACCTCTCTGTTTCCTTCTGGCTCCATTAGCCTGGGACATACATGCTCAAGACCGAAATGTAAAGGCCAAATAAAGACTAAGCTGGGAAAAAACCCTCCAAAGTCTCATCCCCAGTCTGGACACCCCCAAACTCCCAAGTAACAATACAACAGGTTATTCTAACAAACCAGAGACAGGTAACAGTAATGTAAGCTCTTACAAGAACGTTAAACCATATTTATGTACATATACACACACACATTAATAGGAACCTGCCAGTGGAGTCAATGAGCAATTACAAAAATGAATCACTATGTACAGATGCCTATCAGAAGAATAACATTTTTGGTTGCCATAAAAAACAACACCAAACCACTTCCTTCATTTGCCCCATACTCAGGATTTGACTAAATCTAGACAGAGGTAGAATGATTTGACTGAATACTGTACCTCAATAAATAAAAGTGACTTCAATCAACTAAGTGTGTCTGATTCTTATCTGTCTGATTTACAGTTTCTTGGCAATGCTTCAGGCCAACCCAAACAGTGCCACAAGACACTCCAACTTCAACATAGCAGACTAGATAAACTTCGCAAAAATGCATTAGCCAACATTTGAAAAATGTATCATTTGTTACAGACCTGACCCCGGTGCTAAAGTTTCACTATAAAACATAAATATAGTTATGTAAGCAACAATGTGTCTTGCAATAACTCACTGGCAAAAGAGAGCAAGTGGAGTGGTTGTTTCTGATTTAAATTCCTTCTCAAGAACTACAAGCTACATGGGAAAAAGGTCTTTATCTTCATACCTGAGAATGACTCCTCTATAAAAGTCCTCACCCTGCAATAACAAAAAACGCCCTCAAAATCAAGGCCAGAGTTTTGCAGTCCCTTTAAAGTGACCTAATGCAGGTATTTTGCCAGAAGAGGTTGTCTCCTTCTTAGGCCATTTTGAATCTTGCCACTCTCTCCATTGTACTAGCAGTACAATTGTACAGCCCCACATAAAACTGGATCAAGGACCTGACCTGGCTTGAAACAGATAATTATGTGGCTTAAAGCAATTGCGAAATACTGACTTTGCATATGACAAAACCCTGTTTATAGGCACAGCCCTTGCAAATATGTTACTTTTTCAGCTACAAACTTCATGTGCTGAAACTGTGTTTTCATTGTGTATTTGCCTCGCACTTGGCACAGTGGGATCCAAAAGCACTTCTGCAATGGTCCACAAGAATGGGTAGTTTCTTTTAAACAGTATAAAAGTCTGCTTGAGACAACAACATAGGTTCTCCTACGATTTCAGAAACTTTAAAAATTCAAAAGCGTCAGTTCACCTAAGAGGGGGCAGCTAGAAGCCCAGTGGGATATGCTGGGCTATCTCAGGTCTCACTAACACCTATGTCTAGCCAACTGTTTAGCCAACTTAGAATCACACCTAAGTTCACTATGGATTATAACTTGAGTCAGCACTTGCATGTGGATATCTCACTTCCATTAAGTGTCTCAATCCTCATCTGAGTCCAACACATCTTTTCTTTCAGAGGCTCCAGGACCCCAAAGGTTGCAATGCCAAGGTGACACTGAGAGCACACCATCACAACGTGGACATTCAATACTGGGGTAATTATATTACCAGTGGTTCATTTTTCTGATGAACACTCTGTCCAGTATCACTACTGAGTCAGTACAGCACACACTAGTCATCAGATAGTGACACATTAAGCATACTTCAAGGATTCTAAATGATAACTTGGGCTATGAAACAAGTTAGAAATTTTCAAAGACAAACACAAAGAATAAGGGACCCTCTAAAAACCAGGTAATTTAATGACCATGATGGCTGTACCCTAACAGTCATGCCAGGAAGAGGCACAGCACACAAGCCATTACAAAGAAGTAGAGCTGTTCACTGCCTTGGTCTGAAGAGACAGATGATGGCAACTACCATCCAGGAAGCACTACTGAAGCAAACAGTCCTAAACCCAAAGCATGTGCTAAGATGAAAAGAATAATGAATGATGGGAGAATGCTTTCTCTCTCTCTCTCTCAAAAAAGAAAGAAAGAAAGAAGAAAGGCCTGATATACTTCAGAAGACAACTGAAGGTACAAAACCAGCAAGATATTTCACAAAGTATATCCCATGGCACATCACTGTTACACCACAACCCATTTATCACAATGTGAGTCTTGGTTTTGAGTTCTGTCTGTGAATGCCTGTTACCATTATCTGTGCCTCAATGGCAGCTATCTGTTTAGTCAGTCACAGTAAATACAGCTTAGTTGTTGCACCCAATGTGATAAAGCAAAGTGCCACTCTAGCTTAAAAACCCTTGCATTATCACCTGGCTTTATCACAGAGTGAAATATGATAACAGACGCTGCTTGCAAGTCCGTCAATCCCACCAGAATTTCTCTCCTCTCCAGCCTGCATGGCAACATACACATGGCAATGTTTCATCTCTCATTCTCTCTCTCTAAAAATATTACCTCTCTCCCCATGAAAATCAGAAATAAATTCAACAGACCCACTCTAATTCTGCAGTACCTGAACAAAGTTATATTGATGGATGAATGTAGGCCAGTCAGTCATGGGTAACAGCAAAAGCCATGGGCCCACAATAAAAATCAAATCCAATTAAAATTAAATTTCTTAGAGCAGCACAGGGACCTTTATGCAGAAGGGAAGAATCTTGTGGGAAAGGGCAGAGGGAGGGATGTTTTCCTTTCCTTAGTTCAGAACACAAAAGCCCCTCCTCCATTCTGCTGCACATCAAAAATAAATGATAAAAGATATAGCAACTAAGAATATAGTCATAAAAATTATCTATTGCATGCCTGTCCTAGCACACAGGGGATTACCTGCATGGAATTAAAATGACTTCTACTCACTTAAGTCAACCAGTTAATGTGTTCTGTACTTACACATTGAATTCAATCATCAGAATATCCCAACAGTATAACGAGAGCCATCATATTACACAAATGGCAACCATTGCAGAGACAAAAGACAATACTTTCCAACACTGTTAACAAGGAAATCACAGTCACATTAAAAAAAGCTCAAAGAAGAATGATTGTTTTGTCAATTTACTCAAAACCCCCCTACATTCCAGTCGCCATTCCTTTGATTCTTTTTCATCTATTTTTTCCTGATATGCTGTTGCTATTTCTTGTAGCTACTGCTACTGAAAACAGCTGCTTGCAGCTGAACAAAAATTAGGTAACAGAAGAAAAGCTAGAAAATGAAACACTGTGAATAACAGCTAGGTCACCTGGGTTTCTCAGGCAGGCACAAAAGGAACACAGCTCATCTCTAAAGGAAAAAAAAATCTTAAACCAGTTATTTAAATTAATTAGCATGCATATGCACACATTTCAATAGCCATCTTTTCACTCAGAGCCACACTCACCGCTTGCTTCCAATAGTCACATCCAATTCTCTTACACTCCCAGCTAATAACTCCTGCTGCTGTGGAAAAGGTCTTCATGCAAGCCTGCACTCCCAGTAACAGGCTTGCCAGGAAAATAACAAGATGAAAAGCTCTCGCACCACCCCTAGCCGAGAGGAACCCCGAGCCTGGCACCCTGAGCCACAACAACGGTACTGCAGCCCTCAGTCCAGAAAACAAGTATTTTCAAAAGGCACTGCCTTCTAATTCCAGTGTGCATGATGCCAACTGTGAAAACAAAAGCTGCTAAAAACAGCGCGTGTGTGTGAGCATACGCACACAGAGCATCTTAGCTGGAATTAACTCACGTTTTCCCCCTATTCTCCCAACCCATCAGCGAACAAATCAGTCGATTACACCAGGCAAAATAAAATCTTGCACCACGCATTGCATCGTTTCTAATTTGCTACTGTAGCTTCTGCTGATAGGGACAGAAGATGCAGACTGTGCTCAAAGACCTGAAGAACAAAAGAAATACTGTATGAATTAATACTGCTAATTTCTGTTTAGAGCTACAGAAAAAGGTAAATAAGGCACACACCTCTAGCCCTTTCTCTCACGTTTTAACACTAAAAACAAGACAATCTTACCAGGATTTACAGCTTTTTACCCACATTCACTGGATACGCGAGCTTTGCATCCTTGCAAATGTGCCAGCCAGTTTGAAAGCCTCGCAGAACTGAATCTGTCTCAACCTCTGCGTCTCATTTACTGTAACACAGAGGATTTTCAAAGCCATGCCTCACAACAGCTGGCTTGTTTTTGCCTGCTTCCTATGATTGACAAGTTCATACAAGCTCCGTCAACTTTAACCTTGATAAGTGAAGGCTTAGTCTGTATTGTATGTTACATCACCAGAAACTTCTGACCTTAGGGAAAAGATCTCAGAGACTTCAAAGCTTTTTCTTTCCCCCACCCCCACCCCTGGATTTGGTTGTTTAAAAAAAAAAAAAAAATTTAAAAGTCCTTTAATTTTTTAAGGGTTTTTCTTCTTATTTGTGAAAATCATGATCCGCATTTCCACAACTACAGCTCTGCAAGTTTTAAATATTTACAATGATTCTAAAACCTCAGTGTGTTACTGGGCTCCTTTCTGAACAATGTTCAAATAACCAAGTCTTTAATTTTAGAGGAGAGTCTTCATCAACAGCCCTCCAGCTTGAATTTTTTTGCATGTGTTGTGTGTACAGGCGTTCTCTCTTGCAGGAGATTCTGCAGGGAAAGAACTAAATGCTTTCATGCTCCATGAGCAAATTGCCACCCCCACGCTCCATCTTTAGAAACCAAAAGCATCGTGGCCTTCATCAGAGCAAAGCTCAAGCTCCTCTCATTTTTTCTGCACATTAAAGACTTAATGGAGAAGCTGTAGATGAGGCTTTAATATGTATTAAAAGATAATTTTAAAGATGACTACTTTAAGAGGAAAATGTTATTTAAACTGCACACAAAAATAACAGAGAGTAGTTAATAACCCCTTTAAAATTTTTCTGCCTCCCAAAGCTGCCTATTTGATTTCAAGGGAGAGAGAGAATGATTTCAGAAAACACACCCATTTACACAATACAACACAACTGGTTAACAGACTGTAGCAAGTCTGATTGGCCCATGAAGAGAAATGGAAGTTATAGTTGTCACGTTACTTTTTAGCACAAAACTTCACTCAAATTTACTGGCATAAATAGTCTCCTGCGTGACAGTAAATCATAACCATGTTGCCTAAGGGCTTATAGCAGAAAGTGAACATTTCACAGGCTAGCTTTTAGTACCAGAACACCATAAAGCCACTCCATATGTCAGAAACATACGAACTGCTCCACTGAGGCGACAAATCAGTCACCTATTTCCAATGATGCTTTTCATCAAATAGGGGAAAATAAAATCTATAGTACATCAGCACATGATGCTTTTATGACTCTAACTACAGGAGACTATATCTTACATTATCTCTAATCTCCCTACTCAACTGTTATCATTAACAGGGCCATAAGAATATAGCTGGATTTCAAGCAATGCAACAAAAATGTATGTCTTCAGATGATTTTCATTCTAATCCTTTTTACAGGGAAAGCAGTAAAACTAAACCAGAACACAAAAATGAACTACTCAGTTTCTCTCTCTACAAACTTTTTTGTGTGCTCTTCCTTTCACTCACTCCCAATTTCAGTACCTTCAGAATCGTGTTTAGGACTTCTTCCAGCTTCTCACTCTTGGTAAGACATTTAGGGGCAGGGGAGGAAACTTTGCATAAGAAGAAACTACTCTCCAACACTTCCTTTTATCAGCCCATGATGGCCTCATATACCCCCCAGCTGTCACTGCACGCACAGTGGAGAACAGATGTGCCAAGAGCAACTAAGCAAAAGTAACTTTACTCAGTAATAGGAAGCTGCAAGTAGAAAAAAAAGGGGATCTATGAGGTGGGGATGGCCACCTTCAAGTTTAGAAATGGGTATTCAAAATTCAGCTAACAAAGGTAGAGGGAGAATCCACATTTTCAAGGGTGCAGAGAATGAGCAAATTGGATGGGGGAGAAACAGGGCTGCATTACTGTAGCGTTCTGTAAACCAAGCACAGGCTTTGGAGGCAGTCCAGCACCCATTTAATGAGATCCAGCAGCTGCTGGTGAGCCAGAGTGGAGCATCACACCAACCTGCAGGCCGCGCACCTGACAGCCCCATGGATGAGTGCTGCCAGGAGACTGAGGAATGGGGAGGCAATGGCAGGAGCCTGCAAGTTTTAACACTCTCATTTAGCCACAACCAACCCCAAGTCCTGAATCATAGAATCATAGAATTAATTGAGTTGGAAGAGACCTCCGAGATCATCAAGTCCAACCCTTGATCCAACTCCACTGTGATTACTAGATCACGGCACTCAGTGACACATCCAGCCTCATCTTAAAAACCTCCAGGGATGGTGAATCCAACACCTCTCTGGGCAGGCCGTTCCAATGCCTGATCACTCTCCCTGGAAAGAACTTCTTTCTAATATCCAACCTAAACCTCCCCTGACAGAGCTTAAGCCCGTGCCCTCTTGTCCTATTGCTGATTGCCCGGGAGAAGAGACCGACCCCCACCTGGCTACAACCTCCTTTCAGGGAGTTGTAGA